AAGAGCTGCCTCCTCAAAAATGACTGACTGTGATAATAAGAATGGAGTAAAGTCTTTGGGACCTTCATTTTCAGATGGGACACAACTCAAAATAAAGAGAAACAGCTATAAACATCCATTAACCATTGGAATATGGAATATATGAAGTATGAATCCAGGGAAACTGTAATTGTCAAAAATAAATAGAATGGATAAACATCGATATCCTAAGCAATAGTGAGTTGAAATGGACTGGTATTTGCCATTTTGAATCTGACAATCACATGATGTATTATGCTGGGAACTGAATATTTTAAGAGCAATGGCATCGCATTAATCAACAAACAAAACATTTCAATATCTATCTTGAAGTATAATGCTATCTTTGATAGGATAATATCCATACACCTACAAGGAAGACCAGTTAATACCACTAATAACCAAAGTTACACAATTACCACTAATGCCAGTGATGATGGAACTGAAGAATTCTACTAACTTCTTCAATCTGAACTTGATCAAAGTTGTATTGATACTGACTGGATATTGGAATACAAGGCTTGGAAACAAACAGGAAGGATTAGATTTGGAAAATATGGCCTTGGATAGAAATAATACTGGTCATTAAAAAGACAAGAAATAAGTAGAAGACCAAAATGGGTATCAGAAGAGACTCTGGAACTCTCTCCAGTGCAGAGATGCTAAAACATATAGAAGAAATGAGGAGGTAAAAGAGCTGAATAGAAAATTTCAAAGGACAGCTTGAGAGGACAAAGTCAAATATTAAAATGAAACCTGTAAAGACCTGGAGTTGGAAAGACTCCTGGTGTGAAACTGTAGGATCAGCACTGGACTACGAAACACAAGGTTGGCTGTTCACATCCACCAACTGCTCCTTAGAAACTTTGTACAGTGTCTCTATGAGTTGGAAGTAACTCAGTGGCCCTTAACAATAACGAGATGGGCAAAATATTGAATAATGTAGGAAGGAGCAAAAAAGATGTAAGGAATACACAGAGTCACTGTACCAAAAAGAAACAGTCCATGTTCAACCATTTCAAGAGGCAGTAAATGATCAAGAGCCAATGATATTGGTGCATTGACGGAATTGGCAAAGAACACGGCTCCAGGAATTGATGGAATACAAATTAAAATCTTTCAACAAACTGATGCAGCACCAGAAGCACTCACTCATCTATGCCAAGCAATTTGTAAGACAGCTACTTGGTAAACTGAATGGAGGAGATTGTATTTGTGACCATTCCAAAGAGATATGACTCAACAGAATGTGGAAACTATCAGACATATCATTAATATTGTACGCAAGTAGAATTTTGCTAAAGATAAATAAAAAACAGCTGCAACAGTACGTTGACAAAGAACTGCCAGAATTTCAAGCCGAATTCAGACTAGAACGTGGAATGAGGACTATCAATTCTGATGTCAGATGGATCTTGGCTGAAAGCAGAGAACACCAGAAAGATGTTTGTTGTTGTTGTTGTCAAGTGCCGTTGAGTCGATTCGAACCCATAGCGACCCTGTATATGGTTTCCAAGGAGCAGCTGATGAGCTTGAACCGCCGACCTTGCAGTTCAAACGGCTTTGCAGTCTGGCGCATTAACCCACCGCACCACACCAGGCACTGTGCTTTAATGACTATGCAAAGGCTTCCAATTGTGTAGATCATGACAAGCTATAGATAACATTGCAGAGAATGAGTATTCCGGAACATCTAATTGTGCTCATGAAGAACCTGAACATAGACTATGAAGCAGTCATTCAAACAGAACAAGGGAACACTGAGTAGTTTTAAAATTAGCTAAGGTGTGTGCCAGGGTTCTATTCTTTCATAACACTTGTTCAATCTCTATGCCGAGTTTATAATTCAAGAAGCTGGATTGTATGAAGAAGAATGTGGCATCAGGACTGGAGGAAGACTTACTAACAACCTGCGATATAAAGATGATACAACCTTGCTTGTTGAAAGCAAAGAGGACTTAAAATACTTACTGATGATGATCAAAGACCACAGCCTTAGGTATGGGTTGCACCTCAATGTAAAGAAAGCAAAAATACTCACTATTGAACCAATAAATAACATCATAATAAATGGAGAAAATATTGAAGTTTTCAAAGACTTCATTTTGCTCAGATCAACCATCAACACTCAAAGAAGTAGAAGTCAAAAAAGCAAATGACGTATTACATTAGGCAAATTTGCTGCACAAGAACTCTTTAAAGTGTTGAAAAGCAAAGATGTCAGTTTGAGGGCTAAGGTCGCCTGACCCAAGCCATGGTATTTTCAATAACCTCATATGCATGCAAAAGTTGGACAATGAATAAAGAAGACCATATAAGAATCGGTGCATTTGTGTTATGGTGCTGGAGGTGATTATTTAAAGTACTATGGACTTCAAAAAGAATAAACATATATGTGTTGGAAGAAGTACAGCCAGAAAGCTCCTTGGAAGCCAGAATGGCCAGACTTTGTCTCTCATACTTTGCACATATTATCAGCAGAAATCATGCAGATAAGAAGGCAATGAATGGGATGACATACACAAAACTCTGAAAGAAAAAAAATTGCCAACCAAGAATCATATACCCAGCAAAGTTGTCCTTCAAATATGACAGCAAAATTAGGTCATTTCCTGATAAACAGAAATTAAAGGAATTTATAATGATCAGACCAACTTTGCAAAAAATGCTAAAGGGTGTTCTTTGGACTGAAAATCAACGACAGTAGACAACAGTCTGAGATTACCACACATGACAAAACTACCCAGAACTCAATCCGAATATAGAAGTATTTAAAGTAAAACAAATCTGTTGAGTAGAGATAAATACTGTTAACTGTTGGTACATGGAGGGGATTATAACCATGTAACGAAGCAAAGTGCATGATCAGATAGATCACAAAACTGATGATCTGCTCTGTAAACCTTTACTCAGTTCACAATAAAAAGTTTGTTTTTTTTAAAGTTTACTTTCACTATACTGATTAATCTCTAGTCCAGTGTTTAAAGCCCATAATCTAAGTGCACAGTAACAGTATACGCAAAAAACAAGAGAGCAAATGTCTTCTATGATTCTGTCTTTCACCAAATTTGCAGAAACAGGTAATGACAGATGTTGTAAAGAAGATCTGAAAGCTTGTGCTGAGAAAACATGCCAAGTAGATCAATACTCAAAATCCTTTCAAAGACATTGGAGGTCAAATGCAGGTACTTCTGACATCCATCAGCTAATTCCCACATGTGAGCTCAGACAGGCACGCATACAGATACATTGTGCAGATGACCTAATGGAGAGAGATGAGTGGAAACGGTAAGGAGCTCCCTTTTAATTTCACTCTCTAAATCTTCCTTGCCCTCTTGAAGCCCCAAATATATCTAAACATATATATCCATCCGGAGTTTACAGGGGTAATAAACAGCTAAATCTGCCTTTAAAGGCAAATATGCATATGGGGGAAAGAAAGTATCATACAATTTTAGTATAATTTGGAGGAACAGCAACTATAAAGGCTAACATTACTAAATGCTTATTTTATGCAGGAAACAGTGAAAAGTACTTCACATGCATAATCTAGCACATTTAAAGTTAGTGAACTTAAACAGGAAGATATTTCTTAAGCGGTGAAGCCCCCAGCAATAATGAGACTGAACAGAATGAAATATAGAACAGTGCTTGAGTAAGTCTATTTGGAGTCAAGGGAACCTGGGTTTAAACAGTGTTCTATTGCTTTTGAGCTGTTATTTAATCATTCTGAGTGTTACCATCATCATCTACTTAACAAGTTAGCTCTAAGAACTGCTATTGTGTGCAGTCAAGTTAATTTCCATGTGTAACAACTCTGTAAAAGTTTCAGAGGCTATATAGCTTTACAGAAAGCATTATCTTTCTCCCATGGAGCTCCTGGTGGATTCAAACTGCTGATCTTGCAGTTAGCAGCTCAATTTGTAACCCACTACATTACCAGTGTGGCAATGTGGGTTAATGCACCAGACTGCAAAGCCATTTGAACTGCAAGGTCGGTGGTTCAAGCTC